TTTGACCAAACGTGTGCTAAACATTTGTGGTATCTCCCCTTCTGCCCTGGCCTATTCACATTTCCTATATTCTCCTATCACGCTTTCACTGTCACAATTTTTACTTGCTTACTTAAATGTGGTATGGTGTGCCCTTTTTTATCAGCTTTCATGAGAACCCTCCCCACTCCACGCTGGCTTTCTAACCCCCCTTCATCCTTGTGCTGGGAATGTTGATCAGTCTGCCATATTGTTACGCGATCCTCCTTCCATGGGTCTTAACATATTCTCTCTCTTGCCCCGTAAGATCCGTCTGTCCTTCTCCTGGTTCACATATTTTACTCGACCCCTGCCACCCCATCTGTGCCACTCGACGCGTTATTCGCCCTCCCCTGCGTCTTGGTGACTAATTCGAGGCTCAAGACTCTGAGTAAGTGTCATGGTCATACCTTTGCCACATGGACAACGTCTCTTATAAAACCTACTGTAAGTCCACTAGCCCGAAGACCAGCGTGGAGTGCGGAGGGTTATCATGAAAGCCGCTAAAAAAGGGCGCACCGTACCACATTTAATTAAGCAAGTAAAAATTGTGATAGGAGAATATAGGAAATGTGAATGGGCCAGGGCAGAAGGCGAGATACCACAACTGTTTAGCACGCGTTTGGTCAAAGAATCGACTTTACTTGTCTATTTGACGAGTTATAATATGGTGCTATGAATGTTAAAACTCACTGACGATGCCGGCGAAACGTCTGGGAGTGTTCTATGTCCACGATCCGACTTTGGAAATGATCATGCATACAATGGACTCCGGACAAGGTGCGTTCCTCTAAGTCTTCCTACTAACATGACCAAGTTGCGAAAACAAGGTGAAACAACTTCTATAAGTGATGTAGTTGATTGCCATAGCGAGTACGACTTTGTTTTATCGCCAATCTAACCACAGAATGTGATATGGGAAAACGCCTGGCCTTTCTTATAATTCGGATTTGCCCTTTGATCTAACGGCAATCGTGGCGGTGTTGCGTAGTGGTGAACATGTCGAGATTTTACATTACAGATTAATAGGATGAATACATCTCGAATAAATATATCCTACAACTTTCTACTCTGCAAATCCTAGTTAGTATCATGACTGTGAAAAGTTTATAAATGATGATAGCCCATTGCGTAAGTTTTTTACATTAATGCATGTGTGCATGTTCCTGATATGTTAAATGTAATTTTTCAATCAGCCAAGTTTATCGTCTGAATTAATTTAATTGGGTGTCTGGGTCTGTACGTCATGTAAAAAATGAGTTTTTGTGTCCTAATTTATATTTATACTTTGCAAGTAATAAGATATTGGCTTCTTGCTTTCAAATATTTAGACTCTTGATATGATCTTGAAGTTTAGTGTCCTATTTTCAAATTTAAATTTAAATCATTTTGTCACTTATAATAAATTCTTAACAAAATAAATAGGTTCAGTGAAACAATCGATCTATGATAGCCTTTATTTGAATGAACTTTTTTCTAATGCCTGCCTTTCATGCAGCTTCGTTTTATCATGAGTATTTCTCCTTATATCAGCCTTTTTGCTGATCAAAAGAAAATTATTTGTAAAAAAGCCTCTCTTTTTAAGCATTGAAATAGGCGACTGAAAATATTTTGATACCTATAATGTAATCTGAATGACATCACATTGATTGCAAATTATTTGCACTGGACCATTTAGTCTCCTTATTTCTTCATTTTATTAGTCACTATATCGTTTCTGCTTTTTAAAATTTCTTCATATTTCAGACATGCCTACACACCAAATAACCATACTTTTACTCCTAATTCTATCACTTTCACCCTTTTTCGTTGCTGGTGTTCATTGTATTTCTTTGACCCGGTAACTATTTAGGTGCCTGTATTGGTGAATAGAGGTATATAAAGGTGCAATGCACCTTGTATCAATGAGAATTTGTATGCAAATCAAGTCTATCAATATTGCATAGGATATGCCCTCTCCTTTACACAGATTGGTGTCATTTACTCGCCTTTATGCTTTACTTTCAGGTCACTCAAGTGGACGAGCCTTCAAAGTATGGTGTCGTTGTATACGAACCTGCCAGTGGTCGTGTTGATCGGTTCGTTGAAAAACCCCAGGAATTTGTAGGAAATAAAATTAACGCAGGCATTTACCTTCTCAACACCTGCGTCATAGATAGGATATCGGTATGTTTTACAACTTTCTGAAGTATGTATTTTATTTGAAGGTATGAAGAACAAGATGATATGGTCGCAGTCCCCTTTCGTTGCATAGAAGTTGTTTGACCTTTTTTTCACAACTTGGTCATATTGAAAAAAGGACTTAGAGGAACGCAACTTGTCGGAGTTCATAGGATGCATGATAATTTCCACAGTCGAACTGCGGACATGGTACATTCTTAGACTCTTCGCCGGCATCGTCAGTGCGTCTTGCCAGTCTTAGCACCACAAGTGAAGCCGATCCTTTGAGCAATTGTCTGCTAAACAATCTTAGTATCTGTCCTTCCCTTCTTGCTTAATCAATCCTATATCCTCGTATCACGCCTTCACTATCACAATTATTTACTTGCTTATTTAAATGTGATATGGTGTGCCCTTTTTGAGCGGCTTTCATGAGAACTCTCCATACTACACACTGGTTTTCGTACCCCTCTTTACATTTGTGCTTGGAATGTTGATCAAAGTCTGCCCGATTTTTATGCAATCCTCCTTCCCTAGGTTTTATTAGTCTCTCTTGCCCCGTAGGATCCGTCTCCTATCTCCCTGGTTCAAATATTTCACTTGATCTCTGCCACCCCATCTGTGTTACTTGAGGCGTTATGTCCCACACTCTGCCTCTTAGAGACTAACTCGAGGCTAAAGCCCCTGAATAATTCTCATGGTCAAGCCTTTTCTACATGGACCACGTCTATGGTAAAACAGGCATGCAGTCAACCCACTAAATCTAGTCTCTACGGCGTCTATCCAGTTTCTATCCCTAATACCAAGTCTATGCCTTGCTATGCCCTGGTCTCTCGTGTGCCAACCCACAAATGTTGTGGTACTGGTTGTTTTGATTAGGTTCAATGATGAATCACAACATTTTTGGGTTGGCACACGAGAGACCAGGGCATAGGAAGTCATAGCCTTGGTATTAGGGATAGAAACAGTATATGAGATGTATTCACCCTATTTCGTTTAAGGTGGTGAAGGACTAGTATTAGAAATTTCCAACAATCATATGAATTAACCTCACGTTTCCATTGGATTCCATATAGCCTTGATTTCCCAAAAATAGTTATCGTCCAGGATGGGAAAAAAAGGCTACGTGAAATTCAATGGAAACATCAGGTCTACTCATATGATTGTGGCAAAATTCCACTACCAGTCCTTCATCACCTTAAACGAAATATGACGAATACATCTCCTATTACTGATTTACTGTTAGTCTCGAAACTCTACTTACACACGAGAAACAGGATAGACGCGACGTGGACTAGAGCTAGTTGGCTGACAGTAGGCCTGTTTTGCCATAGACGTGGTCCATGAAGCTAAGGCTTGACCATGAGAATTACGCAGGGGCTTTAACCTTGAGTTAATCTCAAAGACGCAGAGTGTAGGACATAATACCTCGAGTAACACAGATGGGGTGGTAGAGGTCGAGTGAAATACTTGAACCAGGGCGATAGGACACGGAT